CATAGGGCTATTAATATAGGAAGGAAGATAGATCATTTAGGCAGAGACACAAATAGACCTTTGCTGCCGGGGCCTCATGCTCACCAGAAGTCCTGCATCACCAAGAACCGAAGCCTTTGTCATTGAGGCTTTGGAGCCACCAGAGACCTGGAAGCAAAGCAGGCCCCAGGCGCATGGTCACTTCTAATTGTGCCTTATCTTCACCGTCTTGGGAGGGGATATGGAGTTGGTACCAAGTCTGTGTTCCATCTGGCTGCAGACACCATCACCTGATCTTTACCACCCCAAATGCCCAATATGATTTCCTTCCTGGCTTCACCCCTTTTACTTTTAGGATTTGGAGAGAAAACAAGCTATACGCACTTTCATGTAAAGTAATGTGGTGAATTCTCCATGCTGTACCATGTGGATAACACCAACAGGTATTAAATACTCCTCCTTATGATGGTGGTGACTCAATCAAAGAAGCCTGAAGACTTTCTAGCTAAAATGATTCTAAAAATAGACTTGAACAAAAGGAAGGAAGGCAAATATGGAGTAGGACAGTATTCTGCAGCCACAGGACACTGATGATATGAGCCCCAATCAAGTGGTACTTCCACCATGCTAAGGCTAGCACATCAGTTCTTCTTCCCCTAATCCATATAATGTAGAGCTGCTGACTATCAAGTCAGAAAGCTTTTTCCCTTCTACTACTTCTGTTTCCTCATCCATAGCTGGCTCAGCCCTCCCATGACCTCTCCTGCTCTGCCCTCCTCTTCCATCCTTCCCTCTGGAACCCCTGTTCTATTGTTAACATATGTGCCCTTGTCTCAGACTTTTTTCTCCCACCCTCCTTCCATCTTCGTGTGTGGAAACTGGCTCCCTCCAAAGTCACTGAATCTCTGACCATCATACCGTCATTCATTTACCTTCCACTGGACCAGTAAGAAGGCATATTCCTTGCTCATTACTGTCACTTTGGGATCTTCCCTTTGATACCATCACTCAACAACCTCTCCTTTGGGGGTTCACTCCATCTATCTATATTGTCTTGTCTAGATCCTTATTGTAGCCATGTACCATCTTGCAACTGGTTCTCTCTCCTTCCTCAAGAAATCCCGAGCTCAAAGTCTTGCTCTCCAATATAACTCATGGCCTCTCATACAAGGGCTAATGCCCATCCATATACACATGGATATTCCCTCAAACACCCAGACCTTACCTCGGTGGTGCGATATGGGCCTAGAATCAGGGATACCTGAGTTCAAATCTGGCCTCAGACACTTATTAGCTGTGTGACCCTGGGCAAGTCACTTAACTTCTGTCTGCCTCAGTTTCCTGAACTATAGAAGTGAAAATAATATAGCAGCTAGCTCCCAGGGTTGTTATGAGGCTCAAATGAGATAATATTTGTAAAGCTCTTGGCACAGTGCCTGGCACATAATAGTGCTTAATAAATGCATATTCCTTCCTCCCTCCAACCCCCATCCTATACAATTCTGATAGACTACTATACATCTTCACATTACCCAAGCCACTCACAGAGATGGCCATACCCTAGAACTCAACTGCTATCCCCTTGATTCAGAACTCTTAACTTCTTCTCTTATCAGAACTTCCTATCCTTCCATCTTTTCCTCTGCTTCATTACCTACCATGCCCTCAAACTATCTTCTTATATCTCTTTTCCATTCTATAGCCAAAGTAAAAACAATGATTGTTTTTACTCACTGTCTCTTTCTGCCTCACACTCACATCTCATTAGCTTGTAAGCTTACCACTTGACCAAAATAGCTTTCTCCAAGGTTACCAAGAATCTCTTGCCTGATAAATCATATTCTCAGTTCTCATCCTGGTTGATCCCTCTGCAGCTTTTGACAATTTTTATACCCCTTTCACTTATGTAATTCTCATCTCTATGATATTGGTCTCTCTTTGCATTGTTCCTACTGGTCTTACCATTCTTCTCAGTCTCCTTTGCTATTTCCCCTCTATTTCCCATAAGTATCTACAAGTATTTTGTTTTGGTCTTCTCTCTCTGTCTCTCTCTCTCTCTGTCTTCCTGTCTGTCTGTCTATATATTATATATGTGTATATTCACACAGAATTTTAGAGTTGGAAAGGACTATGGTACGTGTCTTGTCTAACCCATATTTGAGAAAGAATCTCTTCTAAAACATACCCAATAAATGGACGTCCTAGCCTTTACTAGACCTTTAATAAGTGGGAACTGATTACCTCCCAAGTCAGTTTACTTTTTACTCTCCAATAATTAGGAAATTTCTCCTTATTTTATCAAGCCTAATTTGCCTCTTTACGTTTTCCTCCTCGTTCTTCCCTCTGACCCCTCAAAAAACCAAGATGACTCCCTCTTCCATGTGATAACCCTTTAAATAATTTGAAGGTAGCAATCTTCTCCCTCTTGAGTTTTCTGTAGGCTAAGCATCTTTAATTTCTTCAACTTCCACTCATATAACATGATCTTGAGGTCTTTATCATTCTGGTTGTCCTCCTCTAGATACTCTGTAGCTTTTCCAAATCCTTCTTAAAATGTGGTGCCCATAACTGAACATGATACTTAAGATGTGGTCTGATGAAAACAAAGTCCCCATTGAGACCATATTTACATATCTATGTAAATATATATACGTATTATATATATTACACGGAGACATGTATGTGTATATATTTCACATTATTAGGTTCAGACTAATGTTCTAGATTGTCATGACCTTTTTGGATCCTGACTATTAGGTAGTGGTTTAGCAATCCCTCCCAGCTTTCTGTCATCTACAAATTGATAGGGAATCCATCTATGCCTTTATCCAAGTCAGTAATAAAAATGTCAAATAGCACGTGACCAAGAACAAATCCTTGAACACTCTAGTGGAGACCTCCTTCTAAATTGACATTGAACCAGTAACAACTAAACTTTGAGTCCTGCTATTCAACCAGTTTCAAATCCTGCAAATGGTCATTTCAACTAGCCCATTTCTATACATGTTATCTACAAGAGCAGCATGAATTTGTCAAACTTTTGGCTAAAATCTAGGTAAATGTTTAGATATATAGATAGATATAGATAGAGATATAATAGCCAGTGTCTTTTTGCCTCATTTTCCTAATAGGGATAATAGTAGCACTTACCTCACAGGGTTGTTGTGAGACTCAAATGTCATCAAGTATGGAAAGCACTTTCCAAATATTAGAGTGCTATATAGATTAACTGTTATTGTCTGCCAAGAATAAGTTCATCTGGGTGACTAGAACTTTCCAAGGTTTTTTCTATCTCACTTATTTCGGGTATCAATTTATCTATTAGCCATTTTTGTTCTTTTCAATTAAATGTAGGTATTTTCCTTTAAAGAGAAAATAGTAGCAAAATCAGAATTGAGCAGCATTGCTTTCCCCTTGTCCTCAATTCTTATGCCATCCACCCTAAGCAGTGCCCCATACTTTCTTGGGTTCAATTCTTTTCCCTGATATAGCTGAAAAAGAAAAACCTGCAGAACATGATTTTTGTTGTTCTTAGCTTTCCAGTCACATAGTTAACTGAAAGGTACTGAGAATGCCATATCCCCTGGTGCTGCCAGTCTGACAACTAGAAAAAAGCATTTGATTTAGAAAAGCAAAATCCTACTATAAAGGTTCTGCTCTGACGAGATGTCTATCATGCATAAGTCAAAGTCATATAAGAAAAAATAACAACAAAAAACTTTTCTTCATCAATCCTCCAATTGCTACTATCAATTGAGGAATAAAATGGGGAGATAGCTGCTTGCTAGCTCAAGTGTTTGCTACTTTCATGGATATGCAGTGAATGGTAGAAATGGAAAAAGGATTCCTTTATAGATGTTACAATCCTTTGGTTGCTTGCTGTTTGTAGATGACATTATGTTGATTGTATCATGCTCTGGGATATTACAGAGACTCTTAAATCTATAATCACTCAAAACTGAGTTCAGCCTAATGCATACATGAGAGACCAACAGGATGAAGGATGCCTATTTTCTAGATTATGATATGCAGTTAGATGGCCAGATTATAGACCTGGACCTTTGGTACCATTATCCTAGACAGACCCTGTGAAGTAGGCTTGGCATCACATAGGAAAAGGAGAACTACCTGAATTGCATTTGAGAAATGGTGCAGGGCTTTTTATGACCAGAAGCTTTTCCCTGAAATGACACAGGGCTTTTTATAACCAGAAGCTTTTCCCCAAAATGCTAGGCTATTAGCATTAATATTTTAGTAGTGACGCTATGTACCTCCAAGTCATACAATACCACGGTGTCTGAAGAACTAAAGTTGGTAGTCACACAAATGGCGATGGAAGCCAATGGTGAGCATGAGCAGGCTGTAATATATTACCAAGGAAAAAAATGGTACAGGAAAAGCAACATAAAGGCCATCAACAGAGAGGTAAGACCAGAAAAGGAGGTGGGCTGGTCATGTTACAAGAGTGAGGAATAACCAACAAACAAATAGACTGTGCTCTCCATTAGCACTGAGAAAATGTCAACAGTTTTAGACACAGAGTCAGAATGAGTTAGGACAGTGGGAAGGTACAGGCTGTCTATCATTGTGTATATGTTTATGGTCTTTAGGACCAATTAGTCTAAGTGACTCTATATTGGAGTCCTATCACCTATACTACAAACATCACACAACATATTTCAAAAACCACAATTATTATACCCCAGATATAAGTGTTGTCTCCTGGCACATTTTTTCAAAGCACTTTCAAACTTTCCTTTGCATTTACCCCATTCTAACTTGTACCACACGTATTCACCTACATTTCATAGACTCTCTTCCTTCTTAAACTGTAAGCTCCTTGAGGGCAAATACTACTGTGTTTTTTAATCTTTACATCCTCAGTGCCTAATAAGTGTTTAATAATTATTTGATGAATTGAATCAAATACCGGCTGTGGGCCAGTGTGGTCTTTATTGTTAGCAAGCATTTTCTTTCTTTTTCCAAGTTATTAGTTAATGCACGTCTTCTTCATTTTACAGGCTTTACTTCTCAGTACAAGTCCGTGGGGAGAGTGAAAGAGAAAAGCTCCTATTAATGTATCAGACAAATGATCAAATAGTAAATGGACTCTTTCCTCTGAATAAGGAACTGGCAGTGGAAATGGCTGCTCTTTTAGCTCAGGTAACTTCTATGTGCAAGTACTCCTTTGCAAAGATCAGATAATAATTGATATTTTAAGTGTAGTGAAACAATGTACCTTCAGCAGATCTTGAACTTCATTTTGCCATGATTAACACCTTAAAAATTACAGGCCCAGTAATTACAGTTTGACTCCAAATTACTGACACTCTGGTAGAGATGATACAGAATGAGATAGTATTCCATAAAGAGAATCTAGGTTCTTAATTATCCTGAAATTAAGCCACGAGGCTTTGAATTTAATAAGGGAACATGAGTGTAGAAGTGTGGGGCTGAGAATGCCAGGGTAACATATTTGGATTACATTCTATTCTTTAAACAATGTAATATGTATGAATCAGGCTATAGGAGGATTAGAACATTTTCTTTTCCTTAGAAACCATTAAGTGGTTTGACACCGATAAATTAAGATTGCATTTTAAAGTATTTATCTAACTTCGAGTTTAGATATGAGTTTTGTAATCATTTTATTAATCTTCACAACAATTTCCTAAAAATCTTCAATAACCAAAAGTTATGTCTTATAATAAGTGTTATTAATGCTCATTTTACAAGGGACAAAGAGCTGAGGCAAAAAGCGATGAATGTCACACAGTGCATCTAGTGAGAGAAGATTTGAAGTCATATCCCTTTTACAGAATCACAGAATTTCAAGAAAAGAAAGGGACCATGACAGCCATCTTATCCACCTTATACCTGAAACAGAACCCTGACTATAATACACCCACCTGGTCATCCAGTCTTTACTCAAAGACCTCTGGGGAGAGGCAACTCACTACCTCTAGAACATGGCTTCTAAACCTTTTTGGTATCATGGACCCCCTTGGCAGATCATGTGGTGAAGCCTATGGGCCCCATCTCAGAATCATGTTTTCGAATAATCAAAGGAAATACTAAATTTCAGGCTAAGATTAGTGAAAATAAAAATGTAATTTTTTTCTTCTCATCTAAGTTTACAGACTCCTTGAAATCTATCCACAGGCTCCCTTTGGGGTTCATGGACCTCAGGTTAAGAACCCCTGCTTTGGGGGCAGTCTGTTCTCTTTTTGGATATTTCTAATTATTAATAAAATTTTCCTGACATCGAGACCAAGTTTGTCTCTTTGGTATCTACACATTGCTCCCTTTTATTTCCTCTGGGGTCAAACACAATCTGGCTGATCCCTTCCACAAAACCTTTCAAGTACTTGAGGAGAGTTATCATGGCATCATACCACCACTCAACCTAGGGGTAAATGCAGGCAATACATACTACATGATTACAATGATAGATATCCAAGTTGGTACTTTAGTGGCACTTAAAAGTTCGTATCACTTTTAAGAGAATTAAAATAGTTTAAACATAGAATTTTTATTCTGATAGTATTTTTAAAAGTAGAATTCAAACTTTGATATTCAATGAGGCAGCCAGTGGGTAGAATGGCGAGCTTGGAGTTAGAAAGACTGGCTCAAATCTAGCCTCAGACACTAACTGTGTGGTCCTGGGCAAGTCACTTGACTTCTGTTTGCCTCAGTTTCCTCATATGTAAAATGGAGATAATTATAGCACTACTTCTTAGGGTTTTTGTGAGAATCAAGTGAGATATTTGTAAAGTGCTTCACATACAGTAGGCACTTAGCAAATCCATGCTTCTTTGTTCCTCATTTATAAAAACAGGAGATTGGACTCGGTAACATCCAAGATCCCTTCCAATTCTAAATTTATGACCCAATGATTCTACAACATCAACGAACATTCATTCTTTATATTCCACAATCACATGATCAAGACAAACGAATAGTATACTCTGTACATAACAGTAATAGCTTTGTTCTCAATTTATTTTAAAAGTCAAAACTTTCTCTGACATTCCACAGTTTATATTTCTTAATCTTCCAACTAGGTGGAGATTGGAGATTTTGAGAGACCTTTCTCAACTCCAGCAGGGCAAGTGACTTATCAATACAAGGCAAACCAAACTCTAAAACAAGTCATAGAGAAATTTTATCCTAAAAGGTATAGAAATGGCTGTTCTGAAGAACAATTAAGGTAAGAAAAAAATTCCAAAGTATTTCATGCCTAATGACGTTTGTGTGCATCATCTAAAGTTTAAAGCAAGGGTTCTTAAGTTGGGGCCTGTGAGCTTTTTGATAACTCTATTTTGATATAATTGGTATCCGCTTCTATTTATTTTATTTTATGCATTTAAAAACATGATTCTGAGAAGGGGTCCAGAAGTTTCACTCCACTGTTGCCAAAGGTGTTCAAGCCACAAAAAAGATTAAGAAACTCTAGGTTAAAGAATATATCCTCATAGGAAAGTCCAGTGAGATTTTATTGGTTGTGGTTTTCATTTTCAGGACGATTTTCTTATCCACATCAAGGCTATAAAGACACAAAAATTTACTGGTCTGTGTGAAAACGGAGATAAATCAATATAAGGCAAAGAAGATGAAAATGCACATTAGTTGTTAATTGGTTTTGCTTTTCATGTGGTTTTAATTTCTTCATGTTCAAACTAAGTATGCCTACGTATTAGAATCTTAGCTCAGCCCCCTCCAAGATCTGAATTTACATGATCTAGGTTAAAAACCGAGTGTTATTTCCAAAATCACTTTCCATTCAGCTCAAATTACCCACACACAGAATAGCCTTCAGCAAAGTTCAGACTTCAACTCAAACTAACATCTAGGTTTCTGCAGAGACCTCCCCCCCTCCCCTACATTATATCTTCTTGCTGTGGGAGTAAAGCACATACCTTCAGCCTTAAGAGGCAGGTACTGCTTAGGAAGTTCCTAGTCTCTTTCATAATTCTAACAAAATTTTTTTTCTTTTCTTCAGTGGGGGTGGTGGTGGGAGGGAGGTATTCTATTTCAGAGGAAATAGATTTTTGTTATTGAAAAATAAAATTCGGGGCAGCTAAGTGGTGCAGTGGATAGAACACCGGCTCTGGATTCAGGAGGACCTGAGTTCAAATCCAGCCTCAGACACATAACACTTACTAGCTGTGTGACCCTGGGCAAGTCACTTAACCCCATTGCCTAACCCAAAAAAAAAAAGAAAAAAAACAGAAAAATAAAATTTGATTTTAGAAAGTAAAAAAAAAAAGCAAAGCAAAGACAGCTCATTCTACGTTTGGATAATTCTAATTTTAATAAAGTTTTCCCACAAATTAAAAAAAATGTTCCTAGTCTCTTGCTAGGAAGTTGTCTTCTAAGACTCTTACACTTGAGTTTGTTAGAGTGTGGTAACCCCTAAAGCTGGTGCTGTCCAACTAGGAAGTATCCCTAATAAGGATGCAATCTTTTTTTCCCCTAAAAAAGTTCTATCAATATCTTTTATTGTTTACATCACCTTAATTTCTGAATATATCCCTCCTTCGTTCCTTACCCAATGAGTCATCCCCTTGTAAGAAAGAAGAAAAAGAGAATAAAAGAAAAAGAAAGCAGTTTAGCAAAACTAACCAACAGATCTGCTAAGTCTGACATGTATGTAGCATTGCATACCCATAGTGTCCTGCCTCTCCAGTGCAAGGAAGCAGATGCATTTTCTCATCTCTCTTTTGCCTGTACCCTGTCATTCTCATTACACACATTCTGAGTTTTTGTCTGTGTGTTGTTTATTGTTTTCCGGAATATCAGGTCAAGTAAATTTTTATCACGTCAAGTAAATTTCACTTTTTATCAGGTCAAGTAAATTTTATACTACTTCTTTGAATTCCTTATTTCATCTTTTCCTATTTATTTAGCGCCATTTGTTTAGCAATTCCCTTGAAGGCTTATTTTAAAATGCAGATACTCCTAGAGCCCATTAGACTAATTTACCCTAATATATTGCCTTTCCTGGCTGGGTAGTTGTAGGGGTAGCCTCGGAGCACTGGGCTATGTCTGAACCTCAGGAAGCAGGAATATGCAAAGTGGGAAACAGAGAAGTCAGGAGGGAAGGACGTGGAAAAGGATTGTGGGAATCACGAAGATAAATGTTGATCTACTTTATTATTGTGCCTAGGCTCAGCTATGGGAAAGTTCTTAATCACAATCTTGGGGTTTGTAAATGTTCGTGAAAAATGAAATACTAATTTGTACTCTAAATTATAGATTTTTCCTTTTTTTTTAAAGACAACTTTGTCAACGATTGTCAACTAGATGGATGGCTCTCCGTGGACACAGTGCTGCTGAATGTATGCGCATTTACCTGACTGTAGCCAGGAAGTGGTCATTCTTTGGTGCAAAATTGTTTCTTGCAAAAGTAAGAAATTTGTGGGAAAGAGGTTTTTAGTTTGCATCTTTGTGCATATACCACTCTTTCTCCAACCCAGTGAATCAGGGTAGGGTTACAAGTCAAAAATAGACTGCAGTATCTAAGCATATTTTATATTTAACTTTAAACATTTAAAAATAGGGATTGTTGAATGCAGACATCAGAATGGGCTGCCTGTCTTTGATCCCAACTGACCCCATGATTGGAGCAGGTCCAAATCAGTTTCCGGGTTGCTGCACCTGGAGCCCAAGCCCACTGTTCTGACTAGATGTTACCCCCAGCCCCAGCCTCCCCCAGCCTTCTCTATAGACTTTCTATTGTTATGCAAAACAACTTACGTAATTGATTCCCAAGGCTGTGCCTTCCCTGAGACTACCTCCCTATAGCTATTTAAACCCCTCCTCTTCTGCCCATCTTGGGCACTCCAATATTTGGTGGTGTGCAGCACCTAGAATTGCAATTCCCTTACCTTGATTAAAAGATCCTAATTTTTGCTGTTTTTGCAGCCTTCTTTATTTCAGGTTGAGAGAACATACTTCCAAACTCTGGGAATTGGGAATTCTGAACAATGTAAACAAAATAATGAAGGGACGCTGATTGAAAGGGCTAGACAGCAATACCCTGTCTTTTTAATCCCTGTTTTATGCTGGTAGAATTCATGGCAGCCTGAACTCGGTTTCCCGTTCTGTAAAAACTGCTAAGCTCACACCTTTCCAGTAGAGTAGGAAGCAATTTATGCTTAAACACCTTTCTTGGTGACTGTCTTATTTTCAAGCCAGGGATGGAAAGTACTGGGTATAATTCAGCAAGAAATTCCAAATGTCTCTAGAAACTGAGAGCTATAATTCAAGATTGTCGATAATGAGGTGAGAAAGTCAACCTTTGAAATGTGCCTAAAATAAGAGGCAGTGTGGTGGGGTAGAAGAGGTTTTAAGTCTCGATTATGCTGCTTACTCCTGATCTTAATTTAGACAGGTCATTTAACATTTGGGGGCACCCAGCAGGTCTCTTCCTATATTCCTCTTGCAGATCTTTGTTACGAACATTTATGTAGTTCTCTGGGAGTTGCAAAGCACCTTTGATATACATTTTTATTAGATTCTCACAAGAGCCCTGTGAGTGAAACACTACAAGTATTAGCCCCATTTTATTGAAGGGGAAATTGAGGCTAAAATAGGTGATGATGATGACGGTGGTGGTAATGATCTGCTGCTCTATGTTGTTTCAATTCCAAGGAACAAGATGTAGGTTAAGCTTGTAACCATGCTGCTAACTCAGCCTTGGATTGTACCCACCTCCTTCAGCCTCCAATGGAGTGCTGGAGGGAGCAGTACCAAACTCCTCCCAGTGTTTTCCTTTATAGAGGGCAGAAACTGGACTTTGAGGTTCACTCCACTCTCCATTTGCTGTTCTGCCTTGTTTCAACTCCACGGGAATAAAAGCCCCCCATGCCAGGTATCCCCTGGAGGACTCCCGTCTCTTTTTGTGCGTTGTCTCCCTCGTTAGATTGTAAGCTCCTTGAAGGTAGAGACTGTCTTTCTTTTTGTTAATTGCATCCCCAGAACTGAGCACATATTAGGTCCTTAATGAATATTTATCAGAGTGATGAGGATGTTAGCTAACCTTTCTATGGTGCTTTAAGACATTTTAGAAGTATTATCTCATTTTATCCTCACAACAATTCTGAGAAATGGGGTGCTATTATTATTATCCCCATTTTACAGATGAGAAAACTGAGGCAGACAAAAGTCAAATGTCTTCCCAAAAGTCATACACCTAGTAAGTATCTGAGGCAGAACTGGAACTCATGTCTTCTTGACTCCAGGCTCTATCCACTGTACCACCCAGCTGCCTTAGGTGACTTGTCTTTGATAGCACAACCAGTTTCAAAGATAGGTTTTGTTAACTCTATAGATGAAAAAAAATTTAAGATGATTTGGGAAATTATCAAGCAGCTTGTTACCATTCATTTTTTTAAGGGGATGGGGACTGAACCTGTGATTTTATTGGAATTGGGGAAGACCTAGGTGAGAAAATTCCCCGTAGCAACTCAGGTCAGCATATTCTCTGCCACCTATAGAATGAATTGTCTAAAGCCCTGAGCAGTGGAGTGACTTCTGGAGATCACAAGTCACTGGTGTCAGAGGCAGACTGTGGAGATTCAACCTTCTTTCCAGGCCAGCTCTCTCTCAACTGGGCCAAGTTCCATGAGCTGCACCTGACTTTTCTTGTCGCTCCTGCCCTCAATTAGCCAGACTTCCTCATTCCTGTGAGTGCCAGCCTCCCTGCACACCAAGGTTTATACCTAATGAATATTATGAGAATCTGCTGGTTTTCCATACTTGTAACTTTTGAAAACTTTCAGTATATTTAACCTAAACAGAATTTGTTTATTTGGATGCCTTTAGAAAAAAATCCATACTTTTTTAATGAATGTTAACCAAGCAGCTTAAACCCTAGCTAGAATTTTAGTACCTCACAAGTCTTAACAAATGAATAATTACAGAATACTTAAACTTACTGTATTTTTTTAAAATACCAAGTGTCATTTTTTTCTAATTCTGGGACAAAATTTGAGGAAATTCAGAATAGTCCTGACTAAGCATCCAATTCAGTATGGTTTGATTTAATGACAAAATGTCCAGTGTTTTCCACTAACAAATGCTCCGGTCTTTTAATGTGACATTTATAATATGTGGGGTTCTTTATCTCTCCTATTTCACAGCCAGTAATTCCATCAACATTGGGGAATACTTTCATATGGCTAGCTGTACATGAAGATGGAATTAGTATCTTGGAATATAACTCCATGGTAAGAATAAATCACAAAACTTTTTGATGTAGGTAATGCTATATTTAGCATTTAAGTTGGCTACATTCCATTCAGCTGCAAGACCTGCCATAAAAAAGTAGGCTAAAAACAAAAGGGGAAAATTACAATCATGATTGTATTAAAATTCTTGAAATGGCAGTTTGCACAGTATATTACATTAGGAAGACATTTTCTGTGTATGAGACAAATTATATTGCGGTATCATTAAAATAGAAATTTTAATTGCATAGGTCAAAAAATTCAGTATCATTGAGTTTTCTCCAAAATGATTCTTGTAATACCTCTAATTCTTCACTTTGCACATATGCAAATTATTATAATAGGGCTTTCCCACGATCAAAGAAAATGACATTAATAATTTGAAAGACTGTGTACCCTTCCAAATATATGAAATTTAAATTATTTTTCTTACCTTTTCTTTGCAGGCTAAATTAATTAATATAATTTTATGATCAAGTGGACAAACATTGCTTTAATATAGATGTTGACTGGTATAATTAAAGGTTATCCCCTCATGAGATTTTAATCTAAACCTGATATATATATATATGTGTGTGTGTGTGTGTGTGTGTGTGTGTGTGTGTGTGTACATATATATAATGTCTTTTTCATTTGTTTGTTTGTTTTTGAAACCTGAGGAGGAGGAATGGAAATTGTATTAGTGCATACCAAAAGCCTAATGATTAATTTGCCAGAATCAGTTGTTGAGTCTGTGTATACTAGTATTCTGTGGTCACCGGCAATGTCAAAAAAGGTCACACTTTTCCGTGCAATAATACAATGATTCTGTCTTCAATTGCCCCTACTGAGATGTGTTTTAGAAGGAATTTAAATATTCTGAACAGCCTCAGACTCATGAATGAATGTCTTGAGTGTAGATTATATTTCTTAATTAGACTCTACTAGACAGTTTCAAAGAATATTAAAGCTTAACTAAACATATTTGTTACAAAGGTTTTGTTTAATTTTTTTCCAGGGGAGGGAGGTTGGGTAGGTGAAGGGAAGAAGAAAATGAATACTTATTAATTTTATGCTTATTAATTTTTTAAAAATGAAATATAATTTTAAAATAAATTTTTAAAAATTGATGCCTACTGGTAAATAAACACAGAACCACAAAATACTGAACCACATTTTCTCAGTATTTTTTTTTGTCTTAGCATCTTTGGGAGTGCAGAAATGAAGACCACAAAGGTAACAATGAGCAAATTATTGCTCCAGAGTAGCGTCACCCACTGTCCCAAAAATGTCCATTGCCATCAAACACCCACTGTCCAAATGATATAAGTGACAATGCAGAATACTAAAACAAGCTAGAGTAAGAACTTAAATGTTCCATGTGGTCTGTAGATTGTTCTCTTTGCTTTTATCTTGTGAATTTAATCATGTGTGCATTTGTGAAATTATTTCAGAAACTAGCAAATGCTCCAATAAAAAACTTGCAAATGGTTAAAATGATTTCCTCAATTTAGCATTTATATTATCAGTTGGCTTAATTAAAAATTGTTAATTTTACATACTTCTTTGTGGCATAAAACTCATAATTTGGCTTTCTTCTGTTTTAAGAGGTTAATAGTGACATATGTGTACAAAATCCTAATGACCTTCGGAGGTTATCAAGATGACTTTATGGTGGTTATTAACAGTGCACATTCCAAGGACAAACCAACAGATAAACTCCTTTTTACCATGGCAAAGCCTAAGGTAAGTGGGAAGACCTCTGCCAACTTTGGCAGCTCGTAGACCCTTTTTGTTTGTTGTTATTGAATACACATTGAATGAATGAAAAACCATTCATTAAGTATTTACTGCATGCCAGGTACTGTGATAAAAGTGTTAGGGTTATAAATACAAAAAGCAAGACAGTCTCTGCCCTCAAGGTACTTATATAGTCTTATAGGGGAAGACAACACATAAGTCTGTTTTGGTTAGGAAAAGTCACAGAGGTGGTGATTGCAGTCATAGGGTAATTGATTGACACATCTTTGTCAGGAATAATGGGTGGGGAGAAAGAGTATATGTGAAATCATGGCATGAAGATGTCCTAGGAGCACATTACTAGGTCTGCTTAGATGCTAGTTTGTCATTAGTGACAAATGACAGTTTGTCATTATTCAGTCATTTCAGTTATGTCTAACTCTCTGTGGTCCCATTTTGGGGTTTTCTTGGTAGAGATACTGTAGTGGTTTAACATTTCCTTCTCCAGCTCATTTCACAGATGAGGAAACTGAGACAAAGAGGGTTAAGTGACTTGGCCAGCTAGTAAATGCCTGAGGCCAGATTTGAACTAATGGAGATTTGTCTTCCTGATTCCAAGGCCAGTGCTCTATCCACTGTGCCATCTAGCTGGCCCGCGTTAAATGTGGTAAACAGTCACTAATCAGGAGCCCAGTGTCCCAGAGTAAAAACTGGAATACTAGAGGGTGAGAACATGAAGACATGAAACTGGGTAAGGAGAAAATGATGCCTACTTTGAATTTGGAGTTATTAGTATTATAGGATAATTTTGTAGGCTAAAAAGTTGAAATACAACAGATCATACAATTAGGATGACTGTGCTTTTACTAGTCTTAGAATAAGGATAAAGACTGGAAATGTGATTTAATTGATACAGAAAACTCCAAAGTGAAGAAACTCCCTGTAGCAATGTGGGTCAGCACCTTCTCTGCAACTTAGAAACTTAAGGAGTTCCTTAGACAAATGAGAAAAAAATCTTTGAAGTAAGTTTGTCTGATAAAGGTCTCATTTCTAAGATATATATAGAGAAGCAATTCAAATTTATAAGAATAAAAGCCATTCCACAGTTGAATAATGGTCAAAGGATATGCATAGGCAGTTTTTAGAAGAAGAAAACCAAGCTATCAATAGTCATATGGGAAAATGCCCTAAATTACTAATAATTAGAGAAATGTAAATTAAAACAACTCTGAGGTTCCACCTCACTCCCACAAAATTAGCAAAACTGGCAAAAAAAAAAAAAGGAAATGACAAATGCTAGAGGGGCTATGAGAAAACAGGTGCATTAACACATTTGTTGATGGAACTGTGAACTGATCAAACCATTCTGGAAAGCAATGTGGAACTATGCCACTAAAAGCTTGTAAACGGTGCATATACCTTTTGACCAAGCAATACCACTGCTAGGTCTCTACCTCAAAGAGATCACAGAAAGAGGGAAAAGACACATACATACAAAAATATCTATAGCAGCTCTTTTTGCTGTAGTAAAGATTTGGAAATTGAGGGAGTGTCCATCAATTGGAGAATTAACTGAACAAGTTATGACATATGAGAATGATGGAATACTATTGTGCTGTAAGAAATGATGAAGGGAATGGTTTCAGAGAATCCCGAGAAGACTTATAACCTGATGCAGAGTGAAGTGAGTAGAACTAGGACAACAATTTATACAATAGCAAAAATATTATGAAGACAAAAACTTTGAAAGATGTAGGGACTTTGATTAACACAATGATCAATAATAATTCCAGAGGATTTATGATGAAACATGCTACCTACCTGATAGAGATTAAGAATGCAGAAAGAGACTTTTTTTTAATGTAGTCAATTGTTTTGCTTGTCTATATGTGTTTGTAATGGGTTTTGGTTTTGTTTTTCTTGCTTTCTCAATGGCAGCAGTAGGGATGGGGGAAGGAGGCATGTAGGAAGAAGAAAAGGCAAATCTTGAAAATAAAATAAAATTTAATTTAAAGGGGGTGGGTGGGTGGGGATGAATTCCCTAGAACAGTGAGGGGCTAAGTGACTTGCCCAGTGTCTTATACCCAACATGCGTCAGAAACAGAGCTTGAACTCAGGTCTTTCTGGCTTCAGGGCCAGCTATTTTCCTGTGCCAGGCTGCTTAATATACTCAGTGAATACTTGTTCAATTGTTTTCTATCCAAGGAACAAAGGGAGCTGGTGAAATCATAGACATATCTAAGTGGAATTAGCTTACAGTTCAGCTCTCTTGTGCCTTTGGAAATGACAAGAATGAGACATTCTTATTTTTCTTTTTTTTTAGATTCTTGAAATAACTCTTTTGGTTGCTAGCTACATTAACAACTTCCATCAGCAAAAAGCAGCTCTTCACCACCTCTCAGCTCCTGCACTGTTGTCTGCTCAAAAAGGAAGGCCCAAAAACAAAGACATGGGGAGCCAGCCACTGCTGTTAAACAACAGACCAACTAAAGGCCCAACTTTACTGTGAAATTTCAGAAGCTGGTGACACTATAAAGCAGCTGAATGTCTGGGAACATGACTCAGTGTGCTCAGAGGTGTTTACATCCAAGAGAATGACACATCCATCAGTATTTCAAAACCAAAATGATAGGAAAGATTGTTACTCCTTTTTATGAGACTATTTAAAATATAAATGAGCACTTAGTTACAGTAGAACAAAATAAAAGCTGTTTACAAACACTAAACTGGTCTAATCATACAATCAGGTCTTTGAAGAGCCCTTCAAAGGTCAAATTGTCCAATCCTCTGCCAGTACTTAGTTGACTATTTGTTATATTTGTGAAGATCTAGGCTCTATAACCTCCCTTTGTAATTTGGTCCAGCGTTTACCTACCTTTGTTACTCGGAAGTTACTAATTAAGTAAAAAGTTACCTTTAGTGAAAATATAATTGGAAAAGCATAGAATAGAAAGTTCAAGAAAACAATTACAGTGTGGTAAGTTTTTAAGGGGTACAGTGGATCTGCTAGATTTGTGTGTGATAAAATAGGAAACCTCCTATAGTACTTAAAAACTGTGCCCCTTCACATTTCCAGTTCACTGATGTCAAATTCTGTTGCCCTGAAATTTAAAAAACGAAAGTGATTCCCAACTTGCCTTGGCTTTCTGTGTGCTATGAATTTGCTGAAAAATTGACAGCATTCTTCTCCCTTGGTTCCATTTGCTTCTCACTGTCCTTAGTTGAATGTAATAGTATTTGAAGACATGCATTCCTTTTTTCCCCCATATATGGTAAAGCACTTTACCTGAAGAGAATTCAGTGTCCGCATGTCTTCTGAGTTTTTCTTGTCTTGAAAGTTAGTAGCCTTCAGAATCTTAAAAATAGAGTACATTAAACTTGACATTAGCATTTTTAACATAGGATTATAAATCATGGGGTGATTCCTCAAAGCTTAAAAATGGTGTCCTTTGGTTATTAAATTTTTCAATGTTAGGGTAATGTCCTTATTCCTGAAGAAAGTTGGAATGATGTAAATGACTTGAACACAAATAATGGCAGTGAGTTTCCAAGAAGGAATCTTCCCAACAATGATGTACTTTTGAACGACTTTCATTAAACCACAGATAGCCATTAAATAACCACCCCTTGTGCAACCCTTTTTGTGAAACCATCTGGAGACTAAACAAACCTATGAATTCATCCAGGTGGGCACTCTCTTTAATGATGAAAATTGAAACTCGGCCATCATCATCTGGGGTGCTATAAATCTTCCACTGAGTCTCCCTTTTCATCTCCTGACATTTAGTGGATACCACACTTTATGGAACCCATAGGCTGTCTATTTATTTAAACATGTTTAAGATGATTTATTTTTTAAAAACAGCTTTTGCTGTTACCTCATGATGTTACTCAAAGAGGTAAAGACTTGGTTTTTAGAAGCAGGAAGCATGTTAAATTACTGGGCAATGCAGTATAGAGTTCATGTTAAAATAAAATGTTTAACATAAATTCCTGCTACAGATTGGAATTACAGTGGCTGGGGTGGGGAAGGGGAATAAAATATAAGCATTGTAGTACTAATCATTAGTTAGTAACTACTCACAATTTTAATTTATGTGGAGAATATTTCTATTTGTTCTTTTGGAGGTATATTTATCTCTTTTCACCAGGTATTTTTAAAAGCAAATTCCAAAATTATTAGATTTTAAGGAAAGGAGTAGAAAGTGTGGAGGAGTGAAAAGGATGCTGGGTTTGGAATCAGATCACCTGCTTTTAAATTACATCTCTTCCACTTCACTGCTTGTGTGACCTCTAGCAATTCACAACCTTTCTGGGCCTCAGTTTACTCGTTTGTAAAATGAGGGGGTTGAACTGAATGACTTTCCGAGTCTAAATCTATGATCATCCCTAAATGTAATGATTTGCTGGTATTGTTCTTTGCCTTGTTTTATTTTTTTGTTGCCCCTTTCTCTTTCTGACCATGCACTGATCTCACTTTAAACCTTTTCCACAAGTACCCTACTTAACTTATAGAAAGTTAATAAAACTTTCTATAAAAACTTGAGAACATCTGCTGACTTCAGAAGAGTATTCCACTTCCCCACATGGAGAAAGGGAATTGCCCACAAGTGTGTGACTATAATTATAATGCTTCTTTAATACTTTGTAAAAACCCATTGGTGTTCACTGGTGGCACGCCATGCCTGGGACATAGTAATTGCATAATAAATGTTTGTAGGTTGGTTGATGTCTAGAAGGGTGCCCTCCACCAATGCCCACCACAGCCCTTCCATGCCTTAGTGGATGACTGTCATGCATTGTTGTAGACAAAAAATGTAATATCTGATAGTCCACCTCCTGGACATGAGTGAGCTCTTCTGATTATCTAGGATGTTCTTCCTGTAAGGTAGAATTTGTTGCCAGGCCTATACTTGAAATCTCTTTGCCTTGTTTGACCTGCCAAGAGTTTTTTTCTCTGTAGGCATAGCCTTCAAGTAACCAGGCATCACCTTCATCCTATAATGAGACGTCAGAGAAAACTGTGAATAGAGAATAGTGATAATCTACTAGTTTGGTAATGACTCAAAGAAAGGTCCTTTCTCCTACCCTCCCTCCAACAAGCAAACAAACAAACGAATACAAATTATTTTCAGGAAAAGTTCCTGATCTCACATTCTGAGTATTGTTACTCCACCCAACTACTGTCCAGCCCTTCAGTGTAATATTCATTCTCTCTCATTATTTGTTAACCAATCAGAGTTGATTTCCACCCTCTGGAACACCTACTTTTCCAGGGTCATATAAGGCTTGAGCCTGCAGTCATGAGGGTTTTTGGCATTGGAGAGTGCCATTGACCTCTTTTAAAAATGTTAGCGTTATTTTTATTTTTTTTGGTGAGTCAATCGGGATTAAGTGACTTGCCCAGGGTCGCACAACTAATAAATGTCAAGTATCTGAGGTCAGATTTGAACTCAGGTCCTCCTGACTCCAAAGCTGGAGCTCTATCCATGGTACTACCTAGCTGTCCCAATGCTAACATTATTAATAAAATGACTGATTACCTAGAAAAAAAAAGTTCTTGAGCTACAAAAACTAATTTGTTGAGTAAATTTGTCTGTAAGAATAAACTAGCATGCCTCTGAGTAAGACCTGGGTTTCAGTCCCACCACTGACACATCCTGACTATTGTGACCCAGAGGTCATTTAACATCTCAAAGTCCAGAGGGCTTTCTAAAACTATTGGTTGAACAACAATTGCTAATGGAACTTCCTATACCAACAAAATCACAGGGCCAGTTTAAAAAGTAGAAACTGGTCATCTTTTGGTGCAATTGAAGTAACTTTTGCCTGAGACCAAGTGAAGTCTCCAAATTACCAGAGCATTACTTAATTATTATATAATAAGCCAAAGGCTTTGGCAGAACTATTCACATAAAAGCATTATTCCCAGGCAACACTTTGTTCACCATAAAATAAAACCTAATAAGCTTTTAGTTTAAAGGAAAAATTGTGATGTCTTAGCTTAGTCTGTAAAACCATATAATTGGCATTTATTTTTTGATAAATTTTTTAAAAGACATTGTGACAGAAAGAAATTAACTTTTGTACCTGATGATGTTGAAAAACTGATTTTATTTTCTGAAAAATGACAGCTTTTACACAGCGCTTTTAAAAACTCAAAGCTTATTGTTGTGATCAGTTACCAGAGAACAATGTTATACGTTAATTTTCATATTTGAATTGTGATGTCTCCTATCATTTTCCTGCCTTTCAATCATAATAAATGATTTATAAATACATTTTGAGCATTATCTTTTGAATACAGTTTTAATCTTCAAGAGATACGTAATTTTTCCATTGTCAAAACTGAGGTGGTCTGCCACTGAAAGTGGTAGTTAGTGCCTCCTTATCTTGCATTCATGTCTTCAGCCGCGTTTTAATTTCATACAGGTACAGCTGTGCCTCACTCTGGTGGCCTCAGTTTTTCTTCCACAAACAAGCACCAATGTCTGGTTTGCTTACTTCCCCTATTGCCTAACACCTTCACCAATAATATTTATTCACAACAGGGGTTTCTCACTACTCTAGTATGTTTTCCTTTCTCCCTTGCCACATTATCTCTAAATCTAGCAAACAACCTCATCTAGATTTTTTTTTAATTTTTAAAAAGGTTTTTTTGTTGCTAGAGTTATCGACATGGCTGCAAGACATGAGCACAATAGACTCTAAAGAAAAGAAAAGTAAGTATCATGTGGAGGGTAATGGAAAAGAATATGGTAGTTAGGAACATGCTGCAATGTATAGCAAATAAGGAACTTCAGAGGACAGGAGTAAAGGGGTCATCAAGGAAGTAAATCATCAAAACAGTTTCGCTTAACTGTTCTTATTTGTCACAAGGGAATATATTAGATAGACCTTTCCCACATTTTAGAGGAGAGTGCCAGTGTGATACTTTATACAGGTATCCTCTAAGTACTCGAATGGATGCGTTTGTATATCAGCCTTATCTCCTAACTACGCTCTAGTCAAACTGGATTGCCAGTTATCTGAATCATCAGGCCTCATCTAGTATACCTTAAGGGACACTGGCCCTTTCCCAATGCACTACAGCTGGACTCTCCTAGAGATAGTAATTAAATTCCCGGGAACTGATGAGATCGCCGAGGGAAGTAGAAGGAGAAAAGAAGAGGGTCCAGGGCAGAATCCTGTAGGTCCCTTATGGTTAGAGGCTGTGATCTGGATGGGGATCCAGCAAAGGAGACTGAGAAGGAGTAGTCAGAATGGTAGGAGAACTGGGATATAGCGGTGACCGAGAGAGTAGAGTGTTTCAAGGAAAAGAAGGTGATCAACAGTGTCAAAGGTTACAGAAAGATAAAGGAGAATGAGGATTGAGAAGAGGTCATTGAATCTGGCAATTAAGACAAACTCAGGAACGATATGAACGCAACTATAAAACATTTTTCACACAAATAAAGTCAGATCTAAACAATTGGAAAAATATTAATTGCTCCCGGGTAGGCTGAGCCAATATAATACAAATGACAATTCTACCTAAATTAATCTCTTTATTCAGTGCCATACCAAATTATCAAAAACTTATTTTATAGAACTAGAAAAAATAACAAAACTCATCTGGAAGAACAAAAGCTCAAGATATCAAGGAAATCAATGAAAAAAAAAAATGTGAAAGGTAGTCTAGCCATACCAGATCTCAAACTACATTACAAAGTGGTAATTATCAAAACAATTGGTACTGGCTAAGAAATAGAGTGGTAAATCAGTGGAATAGATTAGGTACAAATTGCATTATAGTAAAAGACCATAGTAATCTAGTATATAATAAACCCAAAGATCCAAGCTTTTGGAACAAAAACTCATTATTTGCCAAAAACTGCTGGGAAAACTGGAAAACAGCATGGCAGAAACTAGGTATAGACCAATATCTCACACTATATACCAAGATAAGGTCAAAATGGGTACGTGATTTACACACAAAGGGTGATACTAAAAGCAAATTAAGTTTATCTGTCAGATTTATGGATAAGGGATTTATGGATAAGATGCAGAGAGCATTACAAAATATAAAAGAGATAATTTTGATTATATAAAATTTAAAAGTTTTTGCACAAACAAAACTAATGCAACCAAAATTATAAGGAAAGCAGAAAACTGGGGGGAAGTTTGCAACAAGAATCTCTGATAAAGGCTTCACTTCTCAAATATGTAGAGAACTGAGTTAAATTTATAAAAATACAAGTCATTCTCCAATTGATAAATGGTCAAAGGATATGAACAGGCAGGTTTCAGATAAAAACATCAAAGCTATCTATAATCATATGACAAAATGCTCTAAACCACTATTGATAAGAGAAATGCAAATTAAAACAACTTTGAAGTACCACCTCACACCTATCTAATTGGGTAATATGACAGAAAAGAAAAATGATAAATGCTGGAGAAGATGTGGGAAAACTGGGACATTAATGCGCTCTTGGCAGAGTTGTGAACTGATCCAAAGATTCTGGAGAGCAATTTGGAACTGTGCTCAAAGGACTATAAAACTGTGCATGCCCTTTGATCCAGCAATACCACTATCTATATCCCAAAGGTCTACAGGTCTATAATCCAAAGACATCCTAAAAAATGGAAAAAAGGACCTATTTGTACAAAAATACTTACAGCAGCTCTTTTTGCGGTGGCTAAGAATTGGAAATCAAAGGGATGCCCATCAGTCGGGGAATGGCTCAACAAACTGTGATATATGGTTGTAGTGGAATATTATTGTGCTATAAGAAATGACAAGCAGGATGATTTCAGAAAAACCTGGAAAGACTTACGTGAACTGATGCATAGTGAAGTGAACAGAACGAGGAGAATGTTGTACACATTAACAGCAGTATTGTTGATTGAAAAACTGTGAATGACTTAGCTATTCTCAGCAATACAATGACCTGAGACAATTCCAAAGAACTAACGATGAAACACACTATCTGCCTCCAGAGAAAGAACCGATATTGAATACAGACTGAAGCATGATATGTTTCACTTTATTTTTTTCTTGCACAAAATGACTAATACGGAAATGTTTTATGTAATTGCATATATATATATATATATATATATGGCAATGTTTCATGTAATTGCACATTATCTGATTGGTTACTCTCTCAGGAAGGGAGGAAAGGAAGGAAGGTGGGAGGGAGGAAGGGATAGAATTTGGGACTCAAAACTTATTAAAAACAATAAAATGGAGATAATAATAGCATCTATCTCCAGGGTTGTTGTGAGGATCAAATGAGATCATTGTAAAATGCTTAGCACAATTCCTGGCACATAGTTAGTGCTATATAAATGTTACTTCTTGTTTTTGCTGCTACTGTGACTGCTGTTGTTTTACCTGCAAGTCCAATGTCCATAGAGTGCCGTAGCGAGTGAGATGGCAATTTTTATTACCATTTCCATTAATCATATCATATTTGCTTGAGATATTGAGCCCCTTGACAGTGCCAATGACTCTGGTAGTAAGAATTTTCCCTCCTAGGAGTGTTTAGTAGGTGGCTTCTGGGGTTTCTGAGGAAGCAGGGATACATCACTTGAAGAGGTAATTTCCAGGTTACATCTAAACAAGGGTTGCTTCCCTGGATGATGGCTGCAGGGGTAAGCTTGAGGTAGGGCTGGTGTTGGTGTTGACCAGCATAGCTGGGTCCTCATCCATAGGAATTTCTCCCTTGGATGATGGCTGGGTCTAGGGTTGGGGTGGGGGATTCTGGAAGCTGATAGCTTGGCAGGTGCTGCACTTCCCCAGGGCTCTTGGGTACAGGATCCTGGGTTGTCTCCATTGAGGTCTGAGGGAGTTCTGGTGAAATAATGGCAAAGATTTGATCCTCCTTGCACATTCTGCCTCCTATATCTTTGAGAGAAGTGTCATTTGTTGATTGGAACCATCATACCCAATTAGCTCCAGCCTCAATTTATCATACCAGGGGACTGACAATGAATACAATAATTATTATGGGATAGGGTCAGGGGCTTGACCTCCGACAGTACTGGTATAGGGTTAGGGACTTGACCCATGATTTCAGGAGGCGTACCCATGCGGGTCAATCCATTCTCTGCAACTTAGTCTTAGAGCACAGAGAAGTGACTTGCCCAAAATCACACAGCCAGGATGTGTCGGAGGAGGGCCTTGAACCCAAACCTTCCTGGCCATGTGTCCAGCTTTCCATCCATCACCACACTGCCTCTGACTATGACTATTACCATCTTAGAAACGACTATGTTTAGTGACCTCCTTCTCCAGGTCTAGCACTGCCCGCCTCCAACCCTGCCTCATTCCCGCTGCTGTAAGATCTGGACACTAGGGAACGCCTACGAACTACATTTCCCATGATGCCACTCTTCGCCGCGCCGCCGGCCATGGTGCCGTCGCTACCATGGCAACCAGGAAGTCCATCCCTTCCAGGTCCCCAGGCAGTACTCTGGGTTTCGCTCCGGCGCCTCTGAGGAGGCCAAGATGCCCAGGTATCCCGGCCCGAGTCAGCCTGGGGAGGGTGAGGGATGAGATATCCGGATGTATGGAGGGGGAGGAGGAGGGAACGGGGGAGGCCCCCTCAGAAGCCCGCGTGGATCCCCCCTAGATCGAAAGATCATCACGAGAAGGGGCTGAGAAGCCCGGCTAATGCGGGGTGCCTTCTATTTAGTCAGCGCCTGATAAGTACTTGTTGCCTACCTGGTTGCAAGGAGAACGGGTTATTTATTTGGTTCGCTTTCTCTCTAGAGTTTTTTCTTCCTCCTCTCTACCATAATTCTCCAGGAGAAGTGAGAATCCCTCACGTGAAAATGGGAGAAAAAAAAAAAAAGAGTAAACAGCAGTAAATCTCTCACAGATCAGGCTGTCTGTCCAGATTGTGCACAGTGTAGATAATAACCAGTTTTACCAAAACCCTCTATTAAAGTGATGCTTCCCCAGGCTGAAAAGGCCCAGTTACGTTAACTTTTCTTCCTAAATCTAATTTTACAAATCTCTTACAATCAAATCACATCGTTTTAAAGCCAGAAGGGACGGTGAAAATCACCTAGTCCAGCAAGTTCTCAAACTTTTTGATCTCAAGATCTCTACACTCTTAAGAATTTTGAGGGCCCCTCCAAAGAGCTATTTTTAATTAGGGTTATATTTATAGCTATTTAGTATATTAAAAATTAAAACGTCTTAGTATCATTATGAAAATAATTTTGGCCTCCCAGACCCCTTTATAAAAGGGTCTTTAGGAGACCCAGAGGTCATTGGACCATACTTTGAAAATTGCTTGTCTAGAGGAAGTTCCTTCTTATCCAAATGGAGAAATTGAATCTCAGAGAGACCAAGTGATTTATCCAAGGTCACCCAGCTGCTTAATGTCATTCAAGCTACAGCACTTTAGATTGATGAGAGACAGAGAGCATCAATTAAGCACTTACTTTGTGCCAGAGACAATACAAGTGAATAGGATAGCCCTTGCACTGATAGATAGGAAATTAGAAGCAACTTTCCACTATACTTCACCATTCCTTGCCTCATCTGAGCTATGTTTTGTCTTTATGTCCTTGAATCTTATCCTTATGTCCTTAGAAACCTGTCTTTGCTAACGGAATACAGAAATATGTACTGTACCGCCCCAAATGGCATCTCATTTCCTCCCTCTGAGCCTTTGTCTTGGCTGTGCATGCCTGAAATGGCTTCCCTCTGCAATTCTATAACCTTTGAATTTATAGCCTCCTTTGAGGATCAGCTTATATGCCTTTCTCTCTCCCCCTAGTTTTTTGTACTCTTCCTCTTCCAATTAGTATGTATGTACTTACATATTTACATGTTGTATCCCTCAAATAGAATATGACTTCTTCTAGTCCTTTGAAGACAATCTCCTCTTTCATTTTGTCTTTGTATTTCTGGGACCTAGCATAGTACCTTATACAAAGTAAGTCCTTAATAAATACTTGTTAGTTTGGATTATATATACTATAGTCCAGATTCTATAGAATCTTATACTTTCTGAGTTATATTGCTTTGTATAGATTTTATGTCATGTTAATTGTCTTAATTAACTTATTGATCATCGGAGCACTAAATTTTAAGTAAATCCTTGAAAGGATTTCTTTTTCCTAACATTTGTCTTTCTGACGCACAGTGATACACTCTGGGAAATTGCAAAAGCTGAAGTGGAGAAGAAAGAAATTTCTGAAAATGGTGGAGATGGAATAGAAGTCTGTGAAAAATCTGTATTCTTCATTGGCAGTAAAAATGGGGTAATATGTCTGGCTTCTTGCTGTACTTTCAACTGTTGTTTTATATGAAAATCTCTATTAATTAAATTATTTAGGCCTGTTAGAAGTTTTGTCATTAAAACTTCCTATGTAATTTGATGACTCAAATGAGTTTGTTTAAAGATTACTTCTAAGATGGAAATAATTACCTAAATAATACTTCACTCTATCTGTAAAGTTATTGATCTATGTACTCCCTTCACTGCTGCAGATTGCAGCCCATCAAACATTCTGGAGACCTTCCTCCAACTCTTTTCATATTATGCCGGTATAGGTGTAGCCTTTGGGCTTTCCATCTGTTGTTGTTCACTCCAGCTATATGGCAGGCCCATCTCTTTCTCTGATCATATCTTTCAGGGGTGGTATCTTTTATGTCATTTTTTGCATACAAGACTTTGGTAATATGATGCAGCCTACTTGTTCCTACCAAATCTTACTCCATTACATTTTCTTTTTTTTTTTCTTTTCTTTAAGTAGTAATTTTTTTTACATTTAATTTTTATTTTATTTTTTCTCAATTACATCTAAACCAAAAATTTTTAATATTCTTTTTTTTTTAAATTTTGAGTTCCAACTGAAAATGTTTAAATTAATATTACAAATTTTCTTTATATGTAAATGGGGAAAATAAAATATTATTTAAAAAATGTTTTTGATTCCCAAGTTCTCTCCTTCCTTCCCTTCCCTCCCTCTTCCTTCAGAAGGCAAGCAATTTGATATAGATTATACATGTGCAATCATGCAAAACATTTCTATATTAGCCATATTTCAAAAGAAAATGCAGGCCAAACAAACAAGAATAATCAAGAAAGTTTAAGAAAGTGTGTTTCAATCTGTATTCAGACCCCATCAATTCTTTCTCTTGAGGTGGATAGCATTTTTCATCATAAGTCCTTCAGGATTGTCTTGGATCATTGTATTAGTGAGAATGGCTGTCATTCACGGTTGATCATTGTATAATAGTGTTCTCCTGGTTCTGCTCATTTCACTTTGCATCAGTTCATACAAGTCTTCCCAGACCTTTCTGAAAGCATCCTGCTCAGCATTTCTTATAGCACAATAGTATTCAATCACAGTCATATAACCACAGCTTGTTCAGCCATTCCCCAATTGATGCATTGCCCTTTTTTCACCCCTAGCTTTGATTAGGCCCATTGAACTAATCCATCAGTCCATAGATCTTACATAAGTCAGAGAACACTTATTAAGCACTTACTGTGTGCCTGACACTTTACCAGTACTGCAGATCAATAGCAAGCTAAGCCCAGTTGAATAGGAGGAGGGCAGGCTCGATTGAGTCTGGAACATTATGCAGTGCATTCAGGGATCCTAAGCAGCTTCCTGGAACAAAAGTCAGAATTTTTAGTTCTGATATTCTTCCAGTGGAGATGCAGCCTAAGTAATAGATCGAGAGCTGGCCTTGGAGTCCCAGAGAGCTGAGCTCTAGGCCTGCCTCTGGCACATCATGGCTGTGTAAGTGCGGACGTGACTCCTTCCCTTAGTGTGGGAGGACCTCTCTTCCACTCTGACTCTGAGGAGAGTCACAGTTGAGGAGGTATGTACATCCATGTAGGACATTTCCTCCATCTCGTGTAGACTAGCAGCTGCTCTGCCCCTTACCTTCTTAGAGAACTGTCTGAGGGCCTGGGAAATGACTTGCCAGGGTCTGGCCCAGGGCCAGAATGGGTTGGAGCAGGGCTGAGCCCAGGCTTTTCTTAATCTGGAGCTGCCTCTCTAGGGGTCAGTGCACAGAAAAAGGGGATTCCTTAGTCTGTCTGGTGAAACTTCTGATTCTTTTCTTAGAATAATATTTTCAAATGCATTAAACAAAAATGCTTCGGATTTCAAAGGAAATCAATTGCATTGAAATACAGTTATTAAAAACATTTTTAAAGCAAATTCACAAAGGTAAGGCTCCTTCTTTCCCATCTCTCCCCACCCTCACCTCTGCCATTCTAACAGTCCTACTGGGAATCAGAGAATTCCACAGTCCCCCAAAACACAAAATTCCTGGTGACCCAAAGAACACCGGAGAGTCTTTGTACATAAAGCAAGATTTTCCAGTTAGAAAGCATTTAATTTTAGTGTTTTAACCTGGTGCTGCTAGGCTTGAGTGCCTCTTGAATACTGTCTAAAGAATTTGCAAATTCCTGTCTCCAGCCTCAGTTCCTCTTCTAAGCTCTAGACTTGTCTCTGTCTCCAGCATAACTGCCCTGTTGGTGCCACTAATGCCTCAAACTCAACTTCTCATCCTTCCCCCCAAACCGGCTCTTCCTTTTTCCTTCTCTTCTCACTGGTGCTACTTCCTATCTTTATAGGCCTGAAAGCTTAGAACTCACTTTGATCCCTTCTGCCTTGTCTTCCACATCCAGTCAGTCCCAATAGCTGTCATTTCTACCTCCTTCAGCTTGTTTTCACCCACTTTTCCAGCCCTGTCCCTGACTACTTCCCTTCTCACACTACCCTGTAGCCAAACTGTTCTACTTGCCTTCCCCTAAACATAGCCTTCTTAGTCTAAAGCGCCCTGTCCTCTCCTATCCTCGTATTGAAATCCCAGCCATGTTGGCTCAAGCATAGTTGAAATATGCTGCCCTCACCTTCCAAAAAAAAGGAAATATGCTGCTTTCCCTGGGAATCCTTTCCCAAGTCTCCCATCTCCAAGGAATGTCTCCCTTCCATGTCATTTTGTGCTTCTGAATCATTTTTTGGTAGCTTACTGCGTTCTGTCTTACGTCCTAGTGATTTGTAGGTATGTGGTCCCCTACGAGATCATAAATTCTTTGAGGATGAAGACTAACGTTGTGTTCCTCTTTATGTCCCCTAAAAGTACTGAAAACAATGTCCTGCACGTGGTAAGAGCTCAATAATATTTAATGACAGAAACTGAACATACTTTAGGCATCTGCTGGGATGTAGAAATAATTTATTTATATAGGACGCTTTTTCTAATCTCATTTTATGAATTGGGATTTTATTTGAACTAAAAGACTGCAAATTCTTCATTCAAATTCAATGTGTTTGTCTAGCACAATGACAAATACCTATTGGAAATTGAGAGCAAAATATGCAGAATAACATTGTATTGTAACATTGTACACAACACAATCTTTCATGAACTGTGAATGATTTGGACTACCATTTCAAAGTTTTGGAAATGTGGATTTTATCCTTTGCTCAAGGGTAAAGTGTTAAACATGTTAAAATTAACATCAGCTTTTAGAAACAATGTTGGTAGAAGTTTTGGATATATTCAAGTGACAAGATTCAAGGCAATGATTAAATTATTTTATTTTAATTTTGTTCCTAGGAATTTCTGATGAATTAGTTATGAACGATCCCTCTCTTCTTCCTAGAAATAGGGATCAGAATTGGCTATTAGGCCACTCGGAATTCAATAACTAACTGTTCTCTTCCTCTCTAACTACAAGTTTGAGCAAAGAATATATCTTATTTTTAAACTATACCTTATTTTTAAACTACAATTTAATTAAAATCATAAACAATAGGAAGGGCAGATATATATTTTGACAGTAACCATGAAATTGACTCATCTGAATATTTCTGATTTAAAAGCCTTGCTCAGAACTCATATGATGATTGAAAGTTTCTTGATTATTTCTTCATTTTGGCATTCAGTTTGTTAATTCATTTAACAGTGCTTTATTGAGGGGCAGTTAGGTGGTGCAGTGGATAGAGCACTGGCCTAGAAGTCAGGAGGACCTGAGTTCAAATGCATCCTCAGACCAAATGCTTGACACTTACTAGCTGTGTGACCCTAGGCAAGTCACTTAAACCCAATTGCCTAAAAAATAAAAATTAACAAAAAAACCTCCCAATGCTTTATTGAATACATATCATATGCAAAAAGCCACTAGATATTTGTAGATACAAAGGTGATCAAGATAACAGATAACAGTTCTTTCTTTTGTGGGCCTTACAATCCACATTTGGATGTCAGATCCTTTCTACAATATCCCTGTCAAGTGGACATTGAACCTTCAATGATGGGGAACCCATGCCCAAGACAGCTTATGCCCCTTTTGGACAACACAAGTTGTTCAAAAGTTTTCCTTACCTCAAAATAAAATCTACCTCTCTGTGATTTCTGTCTACTCACTGTTCTTAGGTTTGCCTTCTGGGGTCCAGCAGAACAAATCCCTCCTCCTATTTGAAGACACGTATCATGTCCTCCTTCCGTCTTCTCTTCTCCAGAATGAACAGGTCTAGTTCTCTCAACCAGTGTTCTCCAATTCTCTTTTCCTTCAGGTGACTCTCTTCTCAATGTGCTGTAGCTTATCTGTCTTTTAGAAAATGGGGTGGCTAGAACTGAATACACTATAAATGTGGCCTGACAAGGTCTGAATATGGGGAGACTAAGTTTCTCTAACTGCAGCTGATGACAGCATTACCTTTTTTAGCTGCTATGGTGACTGGTAACTCATTGAACTTACAGTCCACTAAAACTCCTGAAATCTTTTTCACAGAAACTATTATCTGGCCATGTTTTCCCTGTCCTGTACTTGTGAAATAGATTTTTTGAACACAAATGTAAGACTTTACATTCATCTCTATAAATTCCTATGATTTGGCCTATCCTTGTACCCTGTTGAGGTCTTAATTGAATTTAGGCTCTGTCAGCCTGTATGTAGACGTATGTGTGAGTGTGTGGGTGGGAGGGAGAGAGAGAGAGAAAGGGAGAGAGAGACAGAGAGAAAGAGAGACTGAGAGAGAAAGAGAGAGAGAGAGAGAGAGAGTTTATTAAGAGCTTTTATATTTAGCTTTTACTGTGTGCCAGGCACTGTGCTAAGAGCTCAGGATATAAATAAAAGCGTGCCTACCCTCAGAAAGCTTACATTCTTTTTTTTTAATCAATCATCTTTATTTTTTGTTTTTTGTTTTTTGTTACGCAGTTGGGGTCAAGTGACTTGCCCAGGGTCACATAGCTAGTAAGTGTCAAGTGTTTGGTCTGAGGCCGGATTTGA